TTGCAGCTGCTCTGGGAATATACTTTAGGATTTATCAGCACATATTTGTTTCTTTGTTCTAGTGCTAGTATTTCTTGATGATTGGTTTCCTTAAGTAGTATCCTTTTGTATTTTTTTGTCTGTCGTTGGTAGCATCTTTGGTCACTTAAATCTTCTACTTATAATTACTCCTGTGGTTTCATTTATGAAGGTGATTGGAAAACTCAGTGAGGGTAAGGCAACTCACATTCCATATCGTGACTCTAAGCTAACCCGTCTTCTTCAATCTTCATTAAGTGGTCATGGGCATGTTTCGGTAAGACTCTTATGTATCTGGTGAAATACTTCACATTTCACTATATTGATTTTCAATGGTTGCTTTAGCAGAATTTGTTTTTTTGCTATACTCTATGTTCTTGTTTATATTGACTATCTGTAATAAGCACTAAGCATTGCCGTCGCTAATCCACCATAACAAACTAACTCAGTGTTTTGTTTTCCTTATTTTTTAGCTCATATGTACAATTACTCCTGCGTCAAGCAGTAGTGAGGAAACGCATAATACATTGAAATTCGCCAGCAGAGCAAAGAGTATAGAAATATATGCTTCACGCAATATGGTAATCTTTTAGCATGTTTTACAATAAAGTACTTTGCTATACTCAAGGGTACAAGCTTGAACTTCTTAATGATATATTTTTTGATGTCTTAAAAACAGATTATAGATGAGAAGTCACTAATTAAGAAATATCAAAGAGAGATCTCAATTCTCAAACTAGAACTTGATCAGCTAAGAAGTGGTCTGCTTGTTGGTGTCAGTCATGAAGAGTTAATGAGCTTAAAGCAACAGGTTCTGACTTCCCCCAAGCAAGACCCACCTTTATCCTGAATAAATTTTGCTGTGTTCCAAAGGCAGTGACTGAACTACCTATCTATTTATTATAACAGTTAGAAGAAGGTCAAGTGAAAATGCAAACAAGATTGGAGGAAGAAGAAGAAGCCAAAGCAGCTCTAATGAGCAGAATCCAAAAGCTTACCAAGCTCATACTTGTCTCTACCAAGAATTCTATTCCGGGATATTTGGGTGATGCCGCTCACCAGCGCAGTCTCTCTGCGGGCAAAGATGATGTAAGTTTTCTGTTCAAACCAGTGATATGACCTTCATGATAAATTCTTGCCATTTCAGAGTGGTAAATAGTTTAAGTGATTCGGCTAGTAATATTATCCATTCTGAGGTGGCCAGTAGGAGAAGTATGGGAAATAGTTCGTTTCGTTGATTGAACCTGAATCGGTTTTGTTTGGTCAAGGCTTCTTTTTCTGGGCAAATTAATTTATCAATCTGTTCTTTTACTCTACTGCTGCATGTTGCTTCCACATCTCAGAAGCTGTTTCAAAACACAATGGTCATTCTGTTTTTTTCTTTGCTTTTCAGAAATTGGATTCTCTGCTCTTGGATAATGATAACTTGGGATCTCCATCTTCGACCTTGGCTCTTGTATCAGATGGTTCTTCAGGTTTTAACCACCGGAGATCTTCCAGCAAGTTGAATGGCGAAAACTCGCCGAGCACAGAATTTACGCAAGTGAGTAAACAACTCCAAAGTTTGTATTGATTGTCGGAAAATGGCATCTAAAAATTGTGAACTTATGGTTTTTTGTAGTGTGCCATGACGCCGGATGAAATCGACCTTCTTGTTGAACAAGTTAAGATGCTTGCTGGTGAGATAGCTTTCAGTACGAGCACACTAAAGCGTTTGGTGGATCAGTCCGTAAATGATCCAGAAAACTCACAAACTCAGGTAAAGATACTTCCTGATATTTCTGTATTCTGTCACTGAAAATATGTTTCAGAGATGCATTTTGTGATTTTTCAAATGATATTTAACCGTCTACCTGAAGATGAAGTGGCTCATTCATCTTAAGTAACTAACCTAATAAATTATTCCATGCAGATACAGAATATGGAATGCGAGATTCAAGAAAAGCAAAGACAAATGAGGGCCTTAGAACAACTCATAATTGAGAGTGGTGAAGCTTCAATTGCCAACGCATCATTGGTTGAAATGCAACAGGTAATTTAACCTCCACATCTCATTAACCGCAAAAACATGACCTTTGATTTTACCCTTTCAATGTCACTGGTTCAAGAGTCAATGCCGAACATCTAAGATATCATGTTGTTTTGTTGTTTTCAGAAAGTTATGAGTTTGATGACCCAGTGCAATGAGAAGAGCTTCGAGCTAGAGGTGAGTATTTATTCTTTTATTGAAAATTCCGTCTTGTTTACTACAATAGCCAAATCAAAAGATTTCATCTTATGTTAATATTTGTTCTACCTCTGCCACAGATCAAATCAGCAGATAATTGCATTCTCCAAGAACAATTACAGAAAAAGGTCGGTAACATGTCCTTCTCCCTTTGAAGTTACGCATAATTTTCACCTGTTTTACTCGATTCTTCTTGCTTTTATCTCATTCATCCTTCGAACATTGTTTTGCGAAAAATGCTTCTTACCACACTTTCTCCAACACTACAGTGCACCGAGAACAAAGAACTACATGAAAAGGTGAACCTTCTAGAGCAACGTTTGAATGCAGTTTCTAGCGAGAAATCCTCACCATCTTGTTCCGATAACGCGGTATCTGGAGAGTATGCAGACGAACTAAAAAAGAAAATACAGTGGCAGGTAAACTTACAGACATACATTTTCGGTCACAAGTATCCCAGTAAACCTCTCGTTATACTTACATAATTGTTTGTCTCTCGTTCTTACATGGATGTTTATGTCTTGTATTTAGGAAATTGAGAATGAAAAGTTGAAGCTAGAACATGTGCAGATTGTGGAAGAGAACAGTGGTTTACGAGTACAAAATCAAAAATTAGCTGAAGAGGCTTCATACGCTAAGGAACTAGCCTCTGCAGCTGCAGTTGAGCTGAAAAATCTAGCTAGTGAAGTAACAAAACTGTCACTACAAAACGCAAAGCTAGACAAAGATTTAGCAGCTGCAAGAGACTTGGCTCAAACGCGTAACCCCATGAACGGAGTTAATAACCGCAAGTATAACGACGGGGCAAGGCCAGGAAGAAAGGGAAGGATATCTTCAGGTAGGTCAAGTGGAGATGAGTTTGACTCATGGAATCTCGACCCAGAAGATCTGAAAATGGAGTTGCAAGTAAGGAAACAGCGAGAGGTGGCTCTTGAGTCTGCATTGGCAGAGAAAGAGTTCATAGAAAACGAATACAGGAAAAAAGCAGAAGAAGCAAAGAGAAGAGAGGAAGCTTTGGAAAACGATTTGGCAAACATGTGGGTACTTGTTGCCAAGTTGAAGAAAGACAATGGTGCATTGTCTGAACCCAATGGCACTGCCACTGTCCCTGCAAGAGAAGTAGAGAAGAGTCAAAGCAATGCGGTTCTGAAAGAGAGACAAGTCTCGAGTGCACCGAAACAACCTGAAGTAGTAGCAGTAGTAACCAAAACCGAAGAGACACCAAAAGAGGAACCTCTCGTTGCTCGTCTCAAGGTATAAATGTAACGAGATTAATTCTCTACATTAGTTTTCATCTCTTTCTTTCACATATATTTAACAAGATTCTGTAACAATGAGACAGGCACGAATGCAAGAAATGAAGGAGAAAGAGATGAGATCGCAAGCGAATGGAGACACAAACTCTCACATTTGTAAAGTATGTTTCGAGTCTTCCACCGCGGCGATTCTACTCCCTTGCCGTCATTTCTGCTGTAAGTCACAACTTCATCTCCATGAAACCTCA